GGAGGGGGAGGGGGGACAACGTTGTCCCCTCCCCCCACCCCCGGGTGGTCGCCCCTCCCCCCATCACGGGAGCCCGGGGAGGGGGAGGGGCAGGATCTGTCCCACGACGTCCCCTGGGGCCACCAAGGGGGGGGGTCGGCCCAGCCCCCGCAGCGGCAGCGCCCCCAGGAGGTGGCCTGGGGGGGGGGCACACGGGGGGCAAGGTCTTCTCCAGCCCACCAGCCAACCAGGTCCTCGGCACCCCCCACCCTTCAGCCCCTCCTCCTCCTCCTCCTCCATCCATCTCCATCATCTTCATCCATCCATCTCCATCATCTTCATCATCTCCATCCATCATCTCCATCATCTTCATCCATCCATCCCCATCTCAATCATCTTCATCATCTCCATCCATCCATCTCCATCATCTCCATCTTCATCTTCATCATCTTCATCCATCCATCCATTTCCATCATCTTCATCCATCTCCACCATCTTCATCCATCTCCATCATCTTCATCCATCCATCCCCATTGCCATCATCTCCATCTTCATCCATCTCTACCATCTCCATCCATCTCCATCATCTTCATCATCTCCATCCATCCATCTCCATCATCTCCATCTTCATCTTCATCATCTTCATCCATCCATCCATTTCCATCATCTTCATCCATCTCCACCATCTTCATCCATCTCCATCATCTTCATCCATCCATCCCCATTGCCATCATCTCCATCTTCATCCATCTCTACCATCTCCATCCATCTCCATCATCTTCATCATCTTCATCCATCTCCACCATCTCCATCCATCTCCACCATCTCCATCATCTTCCTCATCTCCATCCATCCATCCATCCCCATCTCCATCATCTCCATCTTCATCTTCATCATCTTCATCCATCCATCCATTTCCATCATCTTCATCCATCTCCATCATCTTCATCATCTCCATCCATCCATCTCCATCATCTCCATCTTCATCTTCATCCATCCATCCCCATCTCAATCATCTCCATCATCTCCATCATCTTCATCCATCCATCTCCATCATCTCCATCATCTCCATCTTCATCCCTCTCCACCATCTCCATCATCTTCATCTTCTCCATCCATCCATCCATCCATCCATCCATCCATCCATCTCCATCCATTCATCCATCTTCATCTTCATCCATCCCTGTCCATCTCCAACCATCTCCAACCATCTCCATCATCTTCATCCATCCATCCATCCATCCATCCATCTCCATCTTCATCCATCCCTGTCCATCTCCATCCATCTCCATCCATCCATCTCCATCCATCCATCTCCATCATCTTCATCCATCCATCCATCCATCCATCCATCTCCAACCATCTCCATCTGTTCATCCATCTTCATCCATCTCCATCCATCTCCAACCATCTCCATCCATCCATCCATCCATCTCCAACCATCTCCAACCATCCATCCATCTTCATCTTCATCCATCCCTGTCCATCTCCATCCATCTCCATCCAACCATCTCCATCCATCCATCCATCCATCCATCCATCCCCTTCCATCCATCCTCATCTTCATCCAGCCATCTCTCGTGGTCCATCCTTGGTGTCCCCTCACCTGGAGGTCCCCCCCCCCTTGTCCCCGTGGTGTCTCCTCACCTGTGAGCAGGTCCCGGGGCAGCAGCTTTCGGTGGGGGGCGCAGTTGTCACCGGGGCGGCAGCGATTGTCCTCGGGGCACCAGGGGGCTGGAGGGGACACAAAGAGAGGGACGTAGGGATGGAGGGCCACCACAGAGACCTCGGGGGACATCAGGGATAGACCCAGGGGACAGCGCGGCCGCGTGGTGGACGTAGGGATGGAGGGACACCACCACGGAGACCTCGGGATGGTCAAAGAGCTGGAGAACATCAGGGATGGCCACCAGAGGACACACAGAGGTCATGGATGGACACATGGAGATGTCATGGATGGTCAAAGAGCTGGAGAACATCAGAGATGGCCACCAGGGATGGCCATGTAGGAGCCCCACAAGTAGAACCTCCACCCCCTTGGTGGAGGAGACCCCATCTCCACCCCCAACCCCACGTCCTCCCCCCCCCGCCAAAGGTCCCCAACTCACGGCAGAAGTTGAGGTTCCTCCAAGGTCCCACCCGCGCCCCGGCCTGGTGACACGCGGCCTCGTAGGCCCCCAGGACCTCCTGGAGGACCTCTTGGAGGACCTCCTGAAGGACCTCCTTGTCCCCGGGGACCTCGCAAAGCTCCTGGAGACACACGTCGTAGAAGACTTTGGGGTTGACCAAAGGGTGACAACCCCCAAAAGGACCTCGGGGGACGCGGAGGACGCGGCAGAGTTGGGTGTGGACGAAGGTCTTCTTCTGGGGTTGGTGACA